TATTGGGTGGTTTATACCAACTATTAATTAAGAATGGTTTGGATTTTGGTTTTGAAATTTCAAGTGTAATTGTTTCGAGATTATCGTCAGTTAAATCGTCTCTCATTATGAAGTTTATTGAGGTTCTTATGTATATTTATGCACTTTTAAGGTTTTTTTGCAAAAATTCTGAAAGATTCTGTCGTTGAGGTGTTTCTTGTCATAGAGTATTTATGTGGACTGGAATAGGTTTGCATGGGTTACAGAGGTTGTGTTTGGGAATTCTTTTGCAGTTTTCATTAGTTTTTCATCGAGGTCTCGGGATTTTTGAAGGAGGTTGTCGTCGCGGTGGAGGAGGCAGGAGAGTATTATCCGAGATTGAGGGTGTTTTTGATTGATTGATGATAGGAGGGATTCCATTTGTTTGGAGATGTTGTCAGTAGGTAGTTTTTCAATGTCATTTGTACGACAGTGAATGATAAAGGTCTTAGGCTCAATGAATTAGTGTCGGTCAAGGATTTCTCTAGCTTGTTTTACTGTAGGGCATTTCAGGTATTTGGTGGTGGAGTTGGGGCACAGTAGTGTTGGATTTATGTTTCTTCCATTGGAATCGCAAAGGATAACAGTGTCTGCTTTTATTTCTGTTAGGAAATCTTTTTCTTGTGTTGTTTGCATTGGACTGTTTGGCATGTCAGGGCTTTCATTGTCAAAGGCCGAGAATTTGTTCTGAGTAGTGATGGTGGATACGAGGTGGGTTTCTAGGGGTGGATTTGGTGGGGTTGGTTTTGATTCCATGGTTGATGTGGGTTCAGTGGTACTTTCAGCTGGAACCAATTGATGGGAGGATTCTTCGGTAGATTATTTGTTTCATACCCCCCCCCCCAACTTACCCTCCACCCCCCACCCCCACTTCCACCATCCAGTACACATACTTTATGAATGGTCACTTAAGCACCCAGTTATTCACAAAAACGCGGAGCTTAAGGTGTTTAGATATAGTTATCACAAAAACTCTGCTCAAGAATCGCGAACTCAAAACCGGGTGACCATTTTCACGCGCAGGTCGTGGAAACTGATTAACAAAATGAAAGAACTTACAAAATGACCTGACGTGAGCGGTTGCTCGCACCATATCACGCCATTGCGCGTGTTCTATAGCATTTTATGTCAATTGCTGACGTCATTAGAATTTTCCATTTTAGAAAAACAATGCGCTATATAAATAACCTATGTTCAAATTTTGCATGCTGTATTGTACCGCTAAAAATTTTCATTATACAAAAAATAAAAAATTCTGTCATGCCAAAAAAAATTTACCGAAGAATATGATATTTTCGCATTTTCCAAAAAAATGGCATTACAGAATTTGTTTATATTTTGCTAATTGTTAGCTTTTCGTCCAAGTAAAATAATGCACGAAAACAAATTGGGGGTTACCATGCTTTTTTTCCAACTATACGAGACGATAGGCCATTTTGGAGTGAATTTCGTACACGTATGTCGTCATAGCAACGAACTATCGGTTACTAAAAGTAATATAATTTGAAAGTTGAGATATCAAAATATATAAAAAACCCAATATCTGCTGAATAAATCCTAAAAATGCGTGGTTTGAACATGTCAAAGTGTTGAACACCTGAATTTTTGAAAACTGTATCGAGCCACCTTAATCGAAGTACCGTCTGAAAAATTGTTCGTGACAGCCAATCGTGGAAGAGTATAAGGTTGCAACCTTTAACAAGCCTTGAAACATTTTGATGGACAATACCTATTGCATCAAATATTATTTATTCGTGTGAGATGCCTCAAAAATCTTGAAACATTTTTCCTGAATTAGTCATTGTTTTTATGTAAAAAATATTTTCCGTTGATGATATTTTCTCTTGTCGCCTACAAATAAAATAAGAGCCCTATCACCTTCCTCAAATAAGTGCCGTCCCCAAATAAGCGCCGCATCATCCTCGGTCCCAGTGCAATCGCTGCCAAAAGTAGAACCGACTTCTACTCTGTGCAATGCTTCATGGAACTTGTCTCGCAAAGATTTTGACCATTGCAAGGCATGTTAAACGGCAAGGCATGTTAATTAAACGGTGCAATGACTCGTGCAACTTGTCTCGCAACGCTATTGCGAGACAAGGTGGCATGAAAAATTGGACCGTGTAACAGGGCCTTTAAGGCTAAGCGACTTAAATATGAATCCCAAGAGAGAATAATTTCAATACTCAGACAATAGCTTTACATGCAATTCCCAACAGTAAAAAAATGCAATTTCGATACCGGACGAATTTGAAACCGGGCTGAAATTCGGCCGTTTCGGCCGTGTAAACACACGAGAACCTCGGAACCGAACGAATTTGACTGAGACCCCCTAACAGGACGAATTCGCGTGTAAACAGGCGAAAAAGGACTAATTTCAGACCGGTCCCAAATTCGTTCGGTACCGTGTAAACGGGGTTTAAGTGGCATGTAGAACACATGCTTGAAGCCAAATTCATGTTACCTGTTTGGTAGAGTGTCTACTGTATATGGTGAATTTCCCGGCTTCCATAGCCAGGATTTTGTCAATGGAAACCTCGCGCTTAGCCAGGATAGTAGCAGGATAGGAAAGGACATATATAATGGCAAATGTCATCTTCCGCCTAGCCAGGTAATAATCGACATATCTGCTTGTCCCGGCCCAGAAATGTCCTAGTTTTACTTGTACACAGGATATTAATAAGTTAATGTGGAAATATAAAGATGAAAGTATCTTCCAAAAAATAAAACCTCTCAAACCTCGATTTTGAAAGACTTTCAAAAACGCTAATCCGTTCGGAAATTACAAATTTGACGAGTAGTGTTTAATTAAAGATGCGGTACAATCCGATCTGTGCATGTGCACAAAGGAGCCCTCTATAATTTAGTTTTTATTTCATTTTATGTTCTTGCAAAGCTTGATTGTTGTCTCTTGATAATTTATTATACTCTAGAATCATGAAAATATAAATAGTTGTCGAATAAAATTCAATATTTTGGATACCGAAATGTAAACAAAGCCTTTGTTTACATACGGACTGTACCGCATCTTTGAGCTTGCACAAGGCAACGTTTGAAGACCCATATCTTCGCAATCAGCCAATTACGCAATTAATCAAAAATCCCCACAAGGAAATCCAGGAGAATTCTTTTGAGAACAACATAATGACACATTTAAGAAATAGAAAACATTTTCCGTGTTTCTATAG